GCACTTATATCAAGCATCTTTATATGAGAACATTACAGCTATTCAGGCATTATTCAGCTGGGCACTGTGAGCATGCTTAGAAGTGAATCCTAGCTCCACCCTCTCATTGTTGCTATCTTCGCAGTGATGGGGCTGGATCTGAAGAGGAGTGTTTCCTGTTCGGGCATCTGCTCATGCTAAAGAACTCTGGGAAGTTGGGATTCTTGCTCACATGTAGATCCCTTACGGAGATTTTCCCCCCTTTCTTCTTCAAAGCTGCCATGATGGCAGTGACGAATACAAGGAGGGGCCCTAAGTGCTCCCCTGTTAATGTCAGGTTAAATAACACTGTGGGGCTATAGAGACTGGTGTATTCCAGTTTTTATCCTATATATAGGCCTATATATAGCCCACAGAGACACAAACGCAGGCCAAGAAGAGGCAGAGCCCTACTGTGATGCAAAAGCCACAGCTGCCTAATACAACACATTTGGGTATCTGTTGGGAGAGTTGAAAAGGTGGCAAACCAAGATGGTATTACAAACTTCTTTTGGGGACAATTTAATGACATACAAATACACATTGTGTTTAAACAATTCTGTTAAATCATGGGGGAAACCCCTTCTCAGTTACTAATGCAATGATGCCATTATACCCTATATTCCTGATCTACAGATTTTCAAGTAAAATATCTCCTGCAGGGATTTCCCCCCTCCCTCCCTCAGCCAGTTGATTTGTGGCAACAGATACAGCTGTTTTCATTCATCAGTACTTGAATCATTACACAAGCCTTTCTGTGCACCTGAAAAATCACGTCAGAATGGCGTTCTAGTTCTCTCCTGCACTGTAGCTTCATTTATTTATTTATCCCTTTTAAAACAGGCAGTGTTTGGTTTTTGGGAAACAGACAGAAATCTTAATGAAATCCAAACTACCCAACTGCAGACCCCCAGCTGGACCATGCCACCACAGCCTTCTGAAAATTGAAAGTAAGGGAACGGAACGAAGGAAAGGGGGCCCAGCTTCCGTTGGCTCCTCTGCATTTCAAGCACAACTTGTGTTGTTGAGTACAGCTTAGACATCAGTATTCAGTCTGTTTTCTCCCCTAAAAGTGTTTGATGGCTTTAGATCTTAGTGTTTGGTACAGACCTCCAAATGAAAAATGACCCTGCCGAAACTTTTCAAACAAACCATCCAGAAACCGTGTCATTATGGGTTGGCAAAATCAAACTGATCAAGGTAGACTTGCCTCTTCATCTTAAAAATGCATTAGAATAGATGTTTCTTACTGTCTAAAGAATGCTGTCCTCAAATAATATATATCTAAACTGCCTCTATTGATGTTTGGCTGCTCTCCTATATATATATGCTTCTTCTGAAGCATAGTTGCACTAAAAGTAATAACATATTGATCCAAGTGTTTTCTGCTATGTATCTGAACTTACTTTGTTTGTTCCCTGATCCTAAACATTTGTACCAGCATATATGCCTATAATTTCTCATTAGTATATTTCCTGTATCACAGTAACATCATATTTTGTAATTCTGCAATTATTCTGTGTAGACGTTAATAAAAGCAGACTACCCCATACCTTATATGCACACCAGAAGCTCAGAAACACAACAAAATTGCAGACAACTAAACATGGAAAGCTTACAATGCAAAACTCACAAACAGTACAAGTACCAGATCAGAAAGAGAAAATGACAGTGTATCTTTCACAGGACTTTAGACCATGTGGTTGCATTTCATGGCAAACAGTGCTCATTTTTGAAGAAAACGTTAGACAAGATGGCGATGACGATGAAAGTAGTAGTAGTAGTAGTAGTAGTAGTAGTAGTATAAAATAATGATGATGATGATGATGATGATGATGATGGAGGATGAGAATGAGAGGGTGGAAGAAATAGCAGTGGTAAAGGAAGAGGAGAAGTTAATTAATGGCAGCGACTTGTGTAGTCCTCTATCCTGCTATTTCTGCTGTTGTCTGAAGAGAAGGTGGGCAGCAATTAATTTCATTTACCTGCTGCATATTATTGCTGCACTAGCTATGCCACTAAGCAAATGGTGGCCTACATTGGCATTCCATGGCCTCTGGGGAAGTGTGGAATGGCCTGACCTATTCTGGGTGAACCAGGCTCACAATTGCTCTTATATGGCTCCTTTGGCCATCAGTAGTAGGACACCTGCTTCTTTCTCAGTCTCAGCTGTGACATTCTGTGAGCAGCCAAACATATACTGTACCATGGGCCGCTGTTGCCATTAGCTATATGATAAATGCTTAAGAGGCTTAAATCACATACTCATTTTTAAGTGACAAATTCATCACCTTATTTCTGATCAGGTCAAATCAAACCCAGGCAAGTGATATTATGAAGGGAAAAATTTACAGATGGAATCAACCTGCCTCCTAATGATGGCTTCTGCATTCACTAAGTGCTGACAGCCAGCATATCACTGCCAAGCACATGATGTGGGAACCGCAGGGTCAAAGAGGTGGTAAATTCAGAGTGTTAGCACTTGGTATTCTATTCAGGAGAGAATAATCTTTCTCCTATCCACATGAAAAAAGAATGTGGAAGTCACCCCTTCAGAGCTGTTTCTTTCTGGTGCTTTGAGGAAATGTGAAATTTCTTCTCCATGATACTCAGAAAGGAAGAATGTCTGGCTTGTCAAATAGGTGGACTGTCATCATGTGATTTGTGCCCATGCCACTATCAAACATTTGAAGAGAAACACTGTGTTATGGGAGTTTATCTGCAGATCATGTTAATACACAAAGACTGTGAGAGCAGCTACCATACGGAGCCAGCTTCAATCTCTCATTGTGTGGCAGTCATATGCTGTGAAGCATTAGCAAAACCCATAAAGATGAAATAGAAAGATTAAAATGGATGAGGCTTGTGTCATGGAATATGACCAATATAGAGAACATACACTCATTTTAGGCATTCATCCTGAATGAATGATGCAACCAAGTATTAGGGGACTTGTTCCACCTTTACCCACAAAAGTGTGAAAGAGGTTTTTCCATCTGTGTTAGCGTACGACTAACAGATCCGTACAACTGAGAACCCTGTGCCTGAATGCAAAGTAGTTTCCAAGGTTGTTAAGCTGAAGGCACTAGAAGACCTGCCACACAGACAATTCAGAGATTTGTGTTGAACAAACAGCATTCAGGGGTAGAAAGGCCAGAACTCGTGCACACAGGAATATTGGGCTATTGCATAAATCCATAGCTCCTTCCCTACTTGATATCTTCATCCATGTCCAATCTCATCCTAAGGCACATGCTCTCATTCATTCACCAATGCATGCTCTATTGAGCTCCATACAGAATTCACACACTCAGATCCTTCTGTGTCACCCAGGGAAAGGTTCGCCAAGGCATTCCGTATCAGAAATGCTTGAACAATTCAAGGGAATGTTTTAGTACAATATGAGCATTGATTTGTAAGATTAGACCATTGTAAAAGGTGCCTGTTTCATCTCTGAATACCCTTTCTAATTCACTTTATGTGAAAGAATCACACTGTTCACAACATATTTCAAAATGTCAGGTAAAATGCATCTGAACCATTTAAAAATGCAATTTCATCTGGCACACAAAACTCACAATAAAAATATTTCAAATTTATAAATGAATAAAAGAGATTTTGAAAAAAATACAGACCAACTGATACAAAACATGCTGCCATTAACAACATATTATTTCAAAAATGGATAAAGCCATTGTGATGTGTATATATACATGATTTAAAATAAGAAATCTGTCATTAATTTTTTTAAGTCTCCAAAACTCACTTGACAGAATTTATTAATCCTACACAATCAAGGAGTTAAATTTTCACTTAATAGCAATAATTTATTGAAACACATACATGTGCAAGAAATTCATAAGGAACTTGTGACCTCAGCCAACTTTATTGTATAGTATCAAAATTTTCTCCAACAGTGCACAGTAAATAATAAAATTAATGCCAATGATGTCAGAAATAAAGCCATGTTGAGATCTTATGTATATTTATTTGCACAACTGATACTGGTAGGGCAATGTTTCAAGTAGATATGATCAGGATATGGGCTAATTTGTTTCAGTGCAAATTCAGAAGTCCCCAGGCACTTAAAATTACCCATAGCATCTGAAAAAGAAACATCTATTTGCATGTGGTTCTTGGATCTACTGCTAGCTTTGATAATAGAAATAAAACATTACAAATGGGAATGTAAGGAGGTCACAAGCTCCTCAGTTATGCATGACATATTTTCTCCCAGTTTTTAAAAGTATATCCAAATTATGGCATATAAAGAGAAGACATCATTTAGCTCATGCTTTAGATGTTACATATATATACACATAAATATTATGAAAGCAATGTTATACGAATGCTCATGTCTCTGTTTGTAAAAGTGGTTGTCCATCCACTTGTCAATCCAGTATGGAGTAAGTTCAACATCCTACATTTTAAAAGTGGAATATGTCCAAGAAATAGAACTCAGAATACAGTATGTCCAAGAAATAGAACTCAAATCCATTCTATACTGTTTTAATACTTTTCCAGATGCTACCACTGTATGTTTGAAGAGGAAACATCTCCCAGAAAGGATATATAGAAAGATGTTTTCTAGACTTCTGACTTTGGACTGATAGAAAGTAGTACCACTTTTAAAAAAAACCCAGATCTATCTGTAGAAGGTTAATTTTGTTTCTCATTAACAGATTGCGCTTTCTTCTCCATCCATAAAATTAACTGCAGTGAACTTCCAGGAGTAAAAACGTGTCTTTTTTCAAGCTTGAATAAGAGGAGAAATAGTCACTTGTCCTGAAAGCTGGCTACAATTAAAAATATTGAAGACAAATTAAAAGTTGTAAAGATGAAAGCTCCAGTGCTCAATTGCTATAAACTTTAACGATGTGATCAGAATTATGAAGACATCAGAATGGCTTTTCAGTTGGTTGCCCAGTGGGCTGCAACTAGACCATAACTGCAATATTAAATGCAAAAAGGACAATATTTACCTTTTCCAACTGGGCATTTTTTTTGGATTTGTACAAAAACTCCCCCACTGCCACAAAGACGGAAAGTACCAATCCTGCTGCCAAAACAATGAAGATGCCACCAATATTTTGCACTCCGAGGGCACTGGCGTCTTTGCTTTCCTCTTCTGGACAACCGTTGCCTCGCCACCACTTCTCTTTCATCATATGCAGCTTGCCTTCCTCTTGCAGGTGAAGAATTGCTATAGTTATCTTGTCTCTGTAGGGAGACCCTGCAAGAGAGCAGTGGGAGCAAATAGGTTACTAAAGCAAGTGCTTCAGGGTTCCTGCTGTCTTAGTTATTGGAAGCTCTCAATGAGAAAATCATGATGCTTTGACAACAGCCTCTGTCATGGAGGGACTAAGTGCTTTCATAACAAAGCCCATATTTTACTTACTAACTCTGTATAGATGTTTTACTTTTCAGTAACCAACAGTGACCTGTAGCACCTAGAAATGTTGTTTTTGACCCAAACATGTGAGTGTGAGAAAAGTTGAAGTCTCCTATTATTACATGTTTTTTCCTTGGATGCCACAATGCAGTCTGACTAATTTTTAGGGGACAAGTGAGCAGATATCCCAAAGGGTATTCACATGGATATATGCACATGCTTTGAAAATTATTGCCAAGACCTCTGTAAGTCTAATGGCATATCAGTTTGATGCGTCTTCTGCTAGATGTGTCTTCTGAAATGTTGCAATGTTTATCTTTTCCCTATAAAATACAATTTACATGACAGACAGACAGACAGACAGACAGACAGACAGACAGACAGACAGACAGACAGACAGACAGACAGACAGACAGACAGACAGACAGACAGACAGACAGACAGACAGACAGACAGACAGACAGACAGACAGACAGACAGACAGACAGACAGACAGACAGACAGACAGACAGACAGACAGACAGACAGACAGACAGACAGACAGACAGACAGACAGACAGACAGACAGACAGACAGATAGAATGTGATAACAGAATGGATTTTTTAAAAATAGAAAATAACAACTAGCACAAGTACTTCTTATGTTGGGGGTTTTGATGGTAAAAATAATCATTGCTCTCAAGTTCTCATGAGGCAGACGAGCAGCAGTTATGCAAAAAGGTATGCAGCTGCATTACTTGTTATTATGAATGGCATGATCAAGTTCTGTAATGGCATTATCAAGAACAGACGAGGACATAGTTGGTAGCTGGTACCTAGCTATTGTTCGTTTCTGTGTCTCAAACCACTAGGGGGTTTTAATCTTGTAAGTTGCTCTGAAACTTACCTCACTGTCACCAAGTTAAACAAAACCAACATAAAAAACTGCAAGTTTTATTTGACATAAGGCCTGCATAGACTGCAGTCCATTTCACCAGACTGCAAATGGACTATAGCCAAGAAAGCATATGCCAAATAAAACATGGTAGTCTTCAAGATGCCAATAATTCTTTCTTTGCTACAATAGACCAGAAAGACAGAAAATAACTTCAAAGGGAAATCCCAGTCTGAACAGCTGAATAAATATTAACTGAAAGATTCTACCTGTGACTTGAATAGGGACAAAAACTTTTCACAATGGTACATTATCTGTGCAGCTGTATCTCATCTATCACCCAGTTACTGTTTCTTAATGGCCATTATCACTGGCTATCACTATTTTGTACTTTTGCTTTTCAATTCCTGCTAAAGATGTAAGGAAAACTAACAAACTTTCTCATCCTTAACAAAAAGGAGTGTCTCAACTCATCAAAACACTCTTGTCAAATAATGGTCATATAATGGTGGGAGTACAGTATTCTCTCCCTGCATGATACCAAAGAGATTGGCACATTTTCTGATCATCAGTAGCATTAGCAAAAAATGAACAACAAACATATTTTTCACACACACACAAAAGGACCCAAGTGTGACCAATGCACAACATCTCTTGTAGTCCTGCCCAGCAAGGAGAAAACTTTTGTTCTCATCTGTGACAATGAAACATACAACAATTGATTATATATTTCTGATTACAGTCCATCACTGACCTACTCACTAAAGAATTAATATTCTGCCAATTGACTAAAACTTTGCATATCTGATGTAGTCAGCCGTAGTCTATAAAAATGCACACTGTAACTATATTTGGTAGCTTCGACCAACATATTTCATATGTTCATATGAATTCAGGAGTCACAATATTCTTATGCATATTCCTATCTGCACTTTTTTGACTAGTAAAAAAAAAATCAGGATCATCTGTGCCAAGTTAGAACCCCAGAGGACTACACACTCAATGTCAACATGACAGCACAACAGACATCTTCATTCTAGCCTCACCATGACTGCATGTGCTGAACCCCCCCCCCAACACCTTACCACTTGTGGACATATAAGTGTGCTTTACACTCAGTTAGCATTCTTGTCTGCGCTTTGACTGTCTTTCCAAGACTTCACACAGAAGAGCTTTGAAGGTCTACTACCTGAAATCCAATGGAGGAGTTAGGAATTAACATTAATCCTGATGTATACAAGGTGGGTTTTTTTACTATGGCCCTGGTCACATGAGGAAACTTTTCTCTAGTTATTCCCTAGTTAGTTTGTTGTTGTTGTTTTCTGCTCACATGATGCACAGTCAAGATCGAGACATTTTATTGGTCAGTGGTGTAACTGCAGAACATTTCCCAATTGCCAGGTGGGGATGTGTTATTTTGTACCTTTGTTGTACTGGTGCATTCCTGACCAGAATTGCCTGTGTGCACAACCTGCCCTGCTGCCATTACTGTGGTGAGCATATGAATTCTTTTTATTTTTTGTTCTCAATACATCAATACATTGACAGAAGTATGCCACTGGGGGGCTGCCCCCATTACATGATTGGCAAGTAATTTTTTTTTCTGTTTCTATGGGAAGATACATTGAACTGTTGGTATGCCAATGTTCCAGAATGGGGTAGGGAGTGATCGCTAGTAACACCCTTTTCCTCTTTCTGATCAACATTTCCTCTAATTTTCAGCCCCACTGGGCAGAGCTACACCCCACATGTGCGGGTCCACCTCCTGTGCGGGGTTTTGTTGTGACCAGAATGAAAGGGGCTGGAAGCAATCTCTGTGGTGCATGGGATAGGAGGAAAGCTGTATGGAGGGGAGCAAGTCATGCACACTCACACGGCCACATAACTTAGAGGGAACTTTGTCCTGATATAGCAATGTGTTGATAAATATATTATCTATATCGAGGGAGAAAATAAACTGGTACCATGGTGTGGCTAGCCATAACAATTCAAGTAGGAGGAAATAAATTGGTACTACTAAAAGTTCTTAGGATGTTCATCTCAGGATATAAACCATGTGACCACAATTCAGTACAACAGAGGTATGAAAAGTTATCAGAAGAACTAGAAAACCTTTCCCTAGTGTGACCTTGGCCTTTATGGAAGGGCAAGGCCAAGAAAGAGCAATTCCATCTGATTTTGCAACCCTGGGATAAGTCAGAAAATCCTCCAGTTTCTTCATGTGATATACAATAGTACACTATTGTCCCTTCTACATTAAACAGGAAATAAAATTTCATGTATTTCCACTCGGTACCTTCTTCTCTGCCTGTTTGCCAATCAAGCACAAAAAGAGGCTGCCTGAACTGAAAACAGAACACAGCAAGAGTATCCAAAGATGAGCAGTAGATGCTAACATTTCCTCCTTGTGAAATTTGTGAGGTTTAGTCATTTTAACGATATAACATTTGAAGTATGAGTGTGTATTATGAAAGAGCTTTCATAAATATTTCTTTTTAATACCTTGTACTGTAAACAGCACAGAGAGACTACAGACGCCATCCATTTTTTCCTGAAGCGAAAGCTGAGTTAAACTGGGATGGGGTATATTTTGAAATGAGAAGACTCTCAATGTGTTTTAGGGAAGCCTTGCAAATGTATAATTAGGCAGACATCTACTGATGTATAACTGCATCTCTCTTTCCTGCCCTGCTGTGTGTCTATTTACTTACATATTTTTAGACAAATTCATGTGGATACGAAGCATGTCTTTTATGTTGCAAACTGGGGATGTTTGTGAGAATAAATCAAAAGGCTGAATATTACTAATGATGCAATATGGGTCAAGCTTCCAAGTGCATATAGTGAAGTGGTTTCAATCTGATTTTTTTTAAAAAAAGCCATGTGTTATTGTTGGGAACACTTGGAATAATCAGCTAAAGCAAATAAAGCAATGGGCTCCATATTCTCAGTGACTTTGCTCCTTCTGGTTGCTGCAGAACTAAAAAGGGCATCCTGTCATGAACCTGATCAGCAAAAGGAAAGCACAAGATTAAAAATCAATGGTGTTCTAAGCTCCAACTAGGAGATTATTACTTTATGGCACGATACTCTTCAGGGAGGAACACGGAAGGATATTTTAGCCAAAAGAGGGATCAAGTGACTGAACTGAGTGCCTAATCTCATCATCTGCTTGGAGATATCTGGACTTCTAAGGCTCCAACCTGACATTATGTGTCTAAGCCACCTATTGTGGCTAGGCCAGCTTCTGTGTGATGCATCTGAAAAAGTACCTTTTTCGGTATACAAGTACTGTATATTTTGGCTTAGTTTGGGAGGTACAGATTGAGAAAGATCATGTGAAAATCCAGACTTCATAATTATTTCTCCATCCTTAGATGGCACAAGATGTTCATATATTTGGCCTAACCCTGGAAAGCTATTCAGAGAAATTTCCAAAGAGCATTAGATAGAGCAGACAGAGTAGCATTACTGCTTAGATTGCCTTTTACATTAGGAAGAATATAGGAAGAAGCAGGGGGCATTTGGATTAAGCTTCTTGCTATGTGTTAGTTTTCTACAGGAATCCTTGGCTGATCCTGCCACTGATCTCTGCACCTCTCTCTTGGCAAAGATGACAAAATGAAGATTAGATAGTGGAGCAGGGTGGGATGCTTTTAGGACAAATAGTCCATGATTTATTCCTGGCTCCATCAGCTTGGCCTCAGGAGGCAATATGTTACCCCAAGTCAGATACAGGGTGACCTTTTCCCACCATCACCCACTAGGTTCTAGAGGACGTATTTGCATGTCTACGCTTTTTGCTTATATGGAGGGCAGGGGTGATGAAGAAGGAGATGGAGACAGCTACAGAGAGGAAATGCAGGTGAGTAGCTAATCAAGTACCACCTCTTGTACTTCGCTTTGCTTTAACTGTTTTTGTCCCAGACTGGATCTACCATGATATGAGTAGCTACTGGCCTATCAT